AAATTTTCATTTCGATTTCTTCTGATCCTTCATATTGTTTGGTTAGAGGTCAGATGCATTACTGAGAGTGTCTTTTCTGAGCAAATAATTTCCTTAACAAGTGTGTGCTGAACCACAGCATTTGTAAACAAAAGCTGAGGTGGGTCATTCCATGCAAATGGGATCACGTGATAGGAGAGGGCTAGAGCTTGGCTGAGTCAGGGCTGGAGGCAACTGTGAACTAGGAAGATAAGGCCTGTGAGTCTCAGGTGACCTCACTCCCCAAGAATGTGAGTGGAGAGGGCCAGAGTACGTTCCTGAACAGTGTCTGAGCAGACCACTCATCTGCACACCACTGTGCCTTTGCATGACTGCCCTAGTGCCACTTCCTGGAGAAGCCCTCGTCTGCTCATGTCTACTGACAAGACGTCCCACCAGCCAGACTAGGGAAGAGTCTGGCCTGATGCAGATCAGACAAGGGCACATGACAAGCTCACTTCTCTTGGACTCTTTTTCTTCCCTACGTGCTGGGGCCTGTGAGCCCTGCAGAAATCCATCTTGGAAGTTAGGCATAGTGTTGGCCTGTACTCCTCGCACTTGGGAGGTGGAGGTGGGCGTTCAAGGCAATACTCAGCTACATCCTCAGCTTGAGCTATGGGCAACCCTGCCCACCCAAACCAAAGAAGTAAAGTCCTTTCCAGAAAACAAAAGAATAAAATGAGTGCCGGGCGGTGGTGACCCCACGCCTTTAATCCCAGCACTCAGGAGGCAGAGACAGGTGGGTCTCTGTGAGTTCAAGGCCAGGCTGGTCTACAGTGCAAATTCCACCACAGTCTCCAAAACTATACAGAGAAACCCTGTCTCAGAAAACAAAACAAAACACAAAAACCTGAGCAATGAATGTTTGCTGGAGTCACTGAATGTCTGGATGACTCAGCGCTGGAAGCTGCTCATGGCCATGCCTGCCCGGGTTGCATGAGGACTGGAGTAGGGGTGGATCTGATTTATCTGGGTGCTCTTTAGTCTGCCAAGCATGTACTGAACATCTCCTGTGGGGCGGGGACTGTTGTGAGGACACAAATGAGCAAAGCAGATGAACCCCCCTGTCCCCACAGCACAGCTCCACAGCGGTGCACTGACATCAAAGAAGGAAGGAGTGGGTTGATGGTGCCAGTGCTCCCCAATCCAGCTGGTTCTGGGTCAGTGCGCTCCTGGAGGCAGGCTGGCTTCAGGCAGGCTTCAGCTGAGATAGAGGCTTTTAAAGAAAGACTTGAAGGAAGTAAAGGAATGAGCTGGGTGGGAGAGGGAGAGCAGTCTAGGCAGCGGCGAGAAGGGCAGAGGCATGGGGTTAAAGAGCGCTGGTGGGACCAGGCGGTGGAGGGGCAGACCGCTAATTCTAGTACTAAGGGAGCAAGAGGCAGGCGGATCTCTGTGAATTTGTGGCCAGCCTGGTCTACAGAGTGAGTTGCAGGACAGTCAGAGCTACACAGAGAAAACCTATCTTGAAAAACAAAACAAAAGCACTGTTGGGAAGCCACTGACTGCCACCGGGTCGCATTCGTACAGCAAGGACCCCTGACATGAGCTGGGAAGGAGCCCGGGGGGAGGGGATGGGGGAGGGCTTGGGCATGATTTTATTTGTTGTTTTGAAAATTTTCCACATTTGTAGATAGAATAGTAAGTAAAATACAGTCCTACTTACCTGCCCAATTGCTGTTTGTCTTCATTTAACACACTTTAGAGGGGTGTTTACATTCAGTAAGAACCCCTTCTTGGAGCAGGTATTTTACAAGCCACTGAGCCACCACCCCCTCAGTCCAAAACAATGTCCTGCCCTGATACTTCTTTCAACCCCTTACCCACCCACCTGGCCAGTTTGCAGTCCTTGTCCTTTTGCCTTTGCTAGAGTGTCATCTAGGAACCTTGCACTTTGTGACCTTTTGGCCTGCCCCCCATCATTCTGATGCCTTTGCAATTGACTAATACACTGTCCCTTCACGGCTATGTAAGATCTGAGAAATGGTTTTAAGTGCCCCTCTGCTAACTGCATGAGGATGGCCCAGAAGTGAAACAGGGATTAGGGACTCTGCAATGCTCCCAAGGACAACATAGCGGGGTTGTTCAGTCTCAAACTCTGCCATCTTAGTGACAGGAAGGAACGTTCCAGCCTCCACCTCCACCCTGTCTGTTGCCATGACTAAGAGGTCTTCTCAGCGCCCTGAACATTATGGATACTTTGTCTCTTTGCTGTGGTACTGTAACTGTCTGGGAAGGAATGAAGAGTTCTGAAGACACTGTTGTGACTATCAGACTGTTGAAACAATGTGCCCCAAAGAAATGGGAATTTCCCCAGAAATCTGCTGGGAGAAGGAAAGGCACTACCTACAGGGGAACCTGTTTCCCTGAAAGATTTCACACAGGTCACAAGCCGGGTCAGAGCACCTTACAGGATGAGGCTGAAGTCCTGACAGTGACGGTCAAGGATGTGCAGGGCCCCCTTGACTGACACTGCTTAGATGTGCTCATTCTCTGCCCTCAATTTAAATCTTGCTCTCACTTCAGGATTCCCAAAACTTGGGGGTTTTCTGGAATTGTTTCTCTCTCTCTCTCTTCGCAGTGTGGCCACATTATTTTTTTCCCCTCAAGACAGGATTTCTCTGTGTAACCACTCTGGCTGTCCTGGAACTCTCTCTATAGACCAGGTTGACCTTGAACTCACAGAGATCTGTCTGCCTCTGCCTTCTGAGTGCTGGGACTAAAGGTGTGCAACATTACCACGGGGCCATGGCAACATACTTTTTTAAAAACAATATTTATTTATTTGTTTATTTATTTATTATGCTACAATATTCTGCCTGCATGTCTGCCTGCAGGCCAGAAGAGGGCACCAGACCTCATTACAGATGGTTGTGAGCCACCACGTGACTGCTGGGAACTGAACTCAGGACCTTTGGAAGCGCAGTCAAATGCTTTTAACTGCTGAGCCATCTCTCTAGCCCCTGAATACTTTTTGTTGTTGTTGTTCTTTTCCGATTTCTATTTTTAATTTGGCTCCTTTGGTTGACTTTTTGAGGAGGAGTGGCCAGACCTTCCTTGGAGCACAGGTTGTGACCCCCAAGTTTGATAACAGCAAACAGAGGACACAACCCCAGGGAGGTAGACCTGATGTTGGAATCTGAACGAGCTGGAAACTCCCCTTGTCTTGCACAAGTCACTTGACTTTGTTGGATTCTAGAGTCCAATCACAAAGGAGGAGTCGCCCCAAGAGACCATCTCTCACACCACAGTTGATGTAAAAGCATGAGGATTTTTATTAATTCTATCATGACAGGGTCTTTTCAGCATTTGAGAGGTCAGAAAGACCCTGAATGGCTGGTACAGGCTACTTTTAAAGGAAAAAGCCACAGAAACAAGGTGGGTGTCTGGGGGTTGTTCTTTAACTATTATGATTGGCTTAATTAAAAGGGCTATTACCAATAATTGGCTGGAGAGCAGCTGCCATATCAGGTGAGGTAAGAGGGAACATCTGAGGATCACTTTGCCCCTTACCCAGGGATTGAGTCAAAATACCAGGAACTGAGTCAACACCTAAAGGTTATCTTGCCTCTATTTAATAGAACATTCACAAGGACTTAGGGAGATGATGGAAAGTTCCCAACATTTCAGTACGTGCATGTGTAGGTCCTTGGTTCCTGGGATGGGGGCACTACTGCTGAGAGGCCTCAAAATTGGCCTCAGAGTTGTCAGAAATAGCTTTAGAGTTATTTTAGAGTTCTACAACTTGATGTGGGTATCATCACCCAGTCATAGGAGGGAGCTGAAGTTCCACCAGGAGAGGTGCCCACCAGAGGTGAGTACTGGGTCTTGGATGGACTCCTGGGTCTATTTGTCTCTAGTATCCCCAGTTCTGTACTCCCAGGGCTTCAGTTTTCCTTCATTTGTGAAATGGGGCTGAGGCACATAAACTTGTCTGGTGTCCAGACATCTTGATGTTGGAGAGTAAGGATTGAACAAGACTGGCTCATCATGTTCCTGGCCTGCTGTGTGGTCTCAAGCCAGTCACAGGCTACCTCTGGGTCTTATTACTCCTTCACCAGGCTCCTGCAGACCTGGCTGTCTGCATTCCCCAGCTCTTGTCCTGGAACTCCCACCCCTCTCTCCTCCTAAGGCACACACCTCGGTTGGGCCTGAGAGACATGGGCATGCCAGGGATGGCAGAGTCCTGTCTGCCTGCTCAGCAACTCACTATTTTTCCAGTGAGCCCCTCACCCCCACTGCACCTCTCAATTCTACAACTATTTTCATTTTCTGATTAGATGCATGGGAAATGCTCATTTTAAAAGCTCATAAAAAAAGTAGGAAAATATTAAGAAGAAAGAAGTCTCTCTTGAATCCACTAGCAAGCCCAATGTGGCCCCATGTCCTTAGAGAGCAACCTGGCCTTGTCACCCATCGCTTCACTTGATCCGCTCCCACTTGTGCTTTCTGAGCTGCAACTGCACGTCTGGACCAGGGGTGCGGTCCTCTGAGCTGCAACTGTGTGTTCTGGACCACGGATGCAGTCAAAAATGAGGCAAAGTGCCTGCTCACACAGAGACTTTGTCACGAATATTTTTTCCAAAAATATAATCAAGTCCTATTGATTTTGCTGAGTTTTCTGTTTTTGTTACTTTGGCTTGGTTTTTGAGACAGGCTCTCTATAAAACCCAGGCTGGCCTTAAACTTGCAACCCTGCCTCAGCCCTTGAGTGCTCAGATCATAAGTATGAATTACAATGCCCGACTCATATTTGCTGTTTTACACCCTGCTGTTTTTCCATTTAACAATATACTGTGAGCATCTAACATTTATTTATTTATTTATTTATTGAGTTTCTCTGTGTAGCCTTGGCTGTCCTGGAACTCACTTACAAAGTGAGTCTAGAAGACTCAGTCTACAAGACCGGGCTGACCTTGAACTCACAGAGGTCCATCTGCCTCTGTCCCTCAGGCGCTGGGATTAAAGGCATGTGCTACCACACCCGACTTTCAATACCATTTTAATGAGGTCACTGCTATAGTTTAGATTTGAAGTGTCCCCTCCAAGGCCCACAGGCTGGAAGTCAGTCACCAGTTTGACATCATTGGGAGTTGGTGGACCTTTCAGGAGGCAGGGCCTATTAAAAGAAGGTTAAGTCACTGGGATGTGCCCTTGAAGAGGACTGGCTCTTTCTATTACTTTTTGGCCATGAGATGAGTGACATCCCCACAGTATACTGTCCCAGGCCCCAGATGAGGGGCCTCCACACCCAACCTCTTCTCTTCATATGCCGATTATCCCAGGCATTCTGTCACACCAGCGGAAAGCTGGCTAGCAGAGCAACAAAGTCATATTTCTTTTTTTAAAAAGATTTATTGTTTTTATTTTATGTGTATGAGTGTTTTGCCTGCACGTATGCCTGTGTACCATGTCTGAGCCTGTTTGATGTTTGTGGAAGGCAAAAGAGTGCTTTGGATCCTCTTTGGAACATGGTCCAAGAATGGAGTCGTGTGAGACTTCTGAATGCTTGTAAGAAAATTCCAAGAAACCAAGGCAAGACTCTTGTGACTTCAATTTCTTCAAAACTACGGAACTGTTATTGGATTCTGCTTTCACATCCACCATGTGAAGCTTGCCCTTGTGATTGTACACTCTACTCATGAGACTATTTTTAACCCTCAGAGTGTAAATTGTCGGATGCTCTGAATAAAGCTGACTGCTGTAAGAGACTTTAGTCTGCCTCACTTATTGGCCCCACATTCCTCCATCTCAGAATCTCTAGAGCAGTAAACAGATCCCCTGGTACTGGAGTTAAAATGGGTGTGAGCCACCATGTGGTGCTGAGAATCAAACCCAGGCTGTCTGCAAGAACAGCCAGTGCTCTTAATCGCTGAGCCATCTCTCCAGCCCCCACAAAGTCATATTTCAAAAAATAAAACATTGCCATTTCTTATCTGTGAGGCATTGGCACAAATACTCCCTTGTAGACACCATGCCCACAAAGCCAATCTAACTGAGGCAGTACCTCTCAGATGACTTTAGGCTGTGTCAAACTGACAGTCAATGCTAACTATGATAGACCTCATATTTGCATAAAAATCTACCTTATAATAGAGATGATTTGTAATCCCTGGCATAGTGTAAATGTTTCAGAAATAGCTGCTGTGTTGTCCTTTTAGGAAAGAATATCAAGAAAAAAATCTCTGTACATGCTCAGCACAGATGTCATGTCTTTGTCATGTGTGTGTGTGTGAGGGGGGTTGGGGCTGGAACCTAGGGCTGTATGGGCACTAACCAGGGCTCTACTACTGAACTACAGCCAGCGCCTGAATGTTTCTGGCCTATGGTTGGCTAGAAACACAGATCTGGAATTTATGTTCATAATAGTTCTGCAAGGTTCAGAACTGAGGAAAGCCTCCCTCCCATTTTGTCTGTCATCTGCTTAGCTCTCCCTAAACACACACAATGAAATTTTTTTTAATCTCTTCCTTACATATTCTTCCAGAATGTTATACCCATACGTACAAGTTAGTACAAACCTATATTTGTTCCTCATTTTTCAACTTAACATTTAGTATATAATCATAAAGTGAAACCCACCCCTTAGCAGTCTTTCGTGGAGCTGCCCGAAGCACCACTGCCTTCATGTCCCCATTCTTCCATTGCTGTGAAGTGCTCCATACAACGTGGCCATCAGAGGCTGGCAAGGCTCCAGTCATTCATTTGAACAGGCTCCAATGGACAGCAGCTTGGGTCATGTCTAAATACAGCATCTCACTGGGTCTGGTGGGGCAGGCAGGCCTGTCATCCTAGCGACTTGGGAGGCTGAGGTAAGAGAAACACAAGGCTGGCATCAAATTAAAGAAATTAAAGAGGGCTGGAGATGTGGTTCAGTTAACAGAGCATGTGCACAGCCCACAGGAAAGCCTAGTGGGCTTTATTACAGTATTTAAACAACACATACATAAATAAATACATTTAAATATTATAAAGTAGAACATCTTTGTCTTAACTGTAAATTCTAGGTCACCCCCTAATTCGCACATCTCTGAGTGACTATGTTGCTATGTTTTCTTTTCCTCTCTTGAGAAGGTAGTAGAAACAGCATTGAGTCAGCGCTTCTCATGCTTAGCTTCCCATGTGCTACCTGATCAGCTCTGTTTGCCTACCACAGAGTTTGGGGTCACGAAAGGAGGGTCATGGCCCGAGAGCCACTGAAGACTTTCCACAGGCCTCTTGGTGGCAGTGGGGACATGACCCCAGAGAGACCTAGTCCAGAATCTGACACCTTGAACAAGCATTGACATCAAGCAGCTGGCCTGTCCCAACATTCCTTGGCAAGAGCAGCATCTAAGGATAGAGAAGGACCTGGGCCCTGGGTAAAGGTGAGGTGCTGCTCAGAGGAGGGCAACATCTGAGGATCCAACAGGAAGAGCCATGTGGTCCTGTGAGGCTGCCAGCCTTGCGTGGGATCTGGTCACTGCTGCTGATTGTCCCATGCAGACTGTTCCAGTTCTTCACTGCCAACAGGAACTGGAAAGCAAGCTTTGGTATGGACTTTTTGTGCGTACACAGTGGCAATAACAACACAGCATGGTCCACACCGTGGCAGCTGAAGGAGGGGCAATGCCTGCTGGTGTCTCAAACAACAAGGAGGCTATTCATTTGCCACACACACAAACCTTCTTTGGGGGATGTATCTGTTCAGATCCTTCATGTGGTTTCATTGCCTGGATACACGTTCTCACTCTCCAGTTGTAGGAGGTTTTTCATTTATTCTTCTTTTTCAATAATTTTTATTTTATGTGCATTGGTGTTTTGCTTGCATGTACTCCAGATCTTGGAATTACAGACAGAACTGCCATGTGGTTGCTGGGAATTGAACCTGGGTTCTCCAGAAGAGCAGCCAATGCTCTTAACCACTGAACCATCTCTCTAGCCCCATTTTTTTTCACATATTCTAATACAAGTCCTGCATTTGAAATGTTTTGTGAAGACTTTTTTTCTCAGCTTGCTTTGAATATTAAACAAGGTCATTAGCACTTAGTAAGTGGGTGCTGTTATCACAGTCAATATTGCCACAATTAGTTCATTGCTCCATTAAGACACTGTGGCTAGGGGCATGAGCCCTCAGCTTGGAGCTGCCAGAGGCATCTGCCCATCAGTTCTTCTTGGCGCCCCCCCCAAACCTGTCACTCATGTTCCTCTAGCTAGACCTTCTTGAGGAAGCCAACAGACTCCAGTGGAGCCTAAGGCCGTGGTTGTTTATGATATTCATTTATCAAAACCTGTCAGCTGGCCCAGGCTGATGGCTGGAGCTGTTCATGGGAGGAAAGGGAGGTCCTGAAACATTGCCCTCCCCATCCTCCCGCTCTGCCTGAGACATAAAGTCACAGTCTTCTCCAACTTTTAGCCCACACTGGCAGCCTGCCTTTGCTGGGTGCCCGAAGATAGGTCTTCTCATCAGAGCCCTGTCTTGCTCATTTCTGATTCCTGTTTGCTACAGGAGATCACTGAGGCTAAAATGTGGCGATACAAATTCCTAAAGCCCAGGGTACGGGACCAAGGTCCGCTCCAGGCACTATCACTGGTGGCATCATTCTCATTACTCCCACCCCTACATACTCCAGCCTAGCCATATAGAGACCCACTTTGGGTGAACACAACTGCAGGACGCCTGGCAGGCACCACACAGCAGACTCTTCCAGAACCATCACATACCAGGGAAGTTCCTGTCCTTGTGATTCTTCTGTCTGACAGACTAAAAGGTGGAGGGCTAGAGACCCAGAGCTTGACTGCTGGTTCATATGGGACCTGCCACGTACAACCCACAGTCTCAGAGGTGCCAGGCAGGGTATGGGTGCATATTTAGTTGTCATCACAACTGTCCCCAAGTCCCCAAGCCTCCATGACAGCCCCTATTATCAGTGCTGTATGCTGTCCTCCCCTATCCAAATCTCCCAGGATGGGTGCTTGTGTGGAGGGCAGTTTGACCTGATCTGTCTCTGTTCTGATGCAAAGGAGCTTTGCCCTAACCAGCCCCTTTCCAGGGTTGTCTTCCTGGGATGCACTCCCATGTTGTGAGGAGGGAATGTCTGCACAAGGACAGTCACTGTCACTGCAAGTTACTGGAGCCACCCAGATGCTGGCTAAACACACCACAGAGAGCTATCTACTACAATGTTAACAGTGGGGCCCCTGGGATTCTTGCCCCAGTTGCTGGATGTTCAGATGATGGGGCCTTTGGATAAATCCCAGTGGTACTTTGGACTTTGGGGGATAGAATAGACCCACCCTATTATACTAGCTGTTTTTGCTTGTTTTCTTTGAGACAGGGTCTCCCTGTATAGAACAGGCTGGCCTTAAACTCAAACTCACAGAGGTCTGCCTGCCTCTGTCTCCTGAATGCTGGCATTAGGAGTGTGCACAGCCATGCCTGGCTCTACCAGCTGTTTTGTGTTACCAAATGTAGTCTGTTTTGTACCAGGAAAGAGCATAAGCTAGGCAGTGACTTGAGAAACTCTCCCTCCTCATCATTTTTCCTTAACTAACAGACAGACGCCTGCTGTGACCTGTCAGAGACCGAAGCTGTTGGGGCAGCACTGGTTTAGAACCTGGTTTGGGTCAAACCCTAGCCTACAGTTCACCCTGCACAATAAAATAAGGGCAACACTATAATCAGGAACCATTTGCTTTGATCCCATCTTCTTCCTCCATATCCAATAGATACCATTTGAGTCTGGGGTTTTGAATCACTGAAAGAGATCTTTAAAGTCCCTTTTGGGTCCAACCTGCCTTTGAAGATCTTGGGTTGGTGATCCAGGAAGGCCACGTGGAAGGGATAGATTTGAGCTATACAGAATAGGCAGACTTAATTCATGTTTCATATATTTATGTTAAAGTACTATTAACATTATTTATATTAATCAGTTATGTTGATATTTAAATCCCAACTACCTGAAATATTCTGAAAATATTACATATTTCTTGCAGAAACAGCTGATGGATAAAGCTGAAAGAGAAATCACCAGGATGTGGTTTAGGGCTGGTTGGTGCTACAATGTGAGACTTTGTCTTTAAATGAAAGGAAAAACAAAAGGTAGGGAGCTATTAAGGAAGATAGCCAATGCTGACCTCTGACCTCCACATGTGTGTGCACATGCATGCATGCACACATGCACACACATAGACACAACTGTTGCGGCTGAGCTGCAACCTTTTTCTGTTTCTACCAGGCAGCCTCACCTTCCACAGCCTGTGGCCAGCTCCTCTGGCTTTAGTGGAGAAGACACTAGCTGGTGAAAGAGAGAGACGGATCATCCGCCAAAGAACTTCTGGCTAGTCGGTGAGGTGGAACACGCCTTTCTTGGGAGGTAGATTCAAGCCCAGTCAGGTCAATACACTGAGCTCCAGGGCAGCCAGGACTCTGTAGAGAGACCTTTTCTTAAAAAAAAAAAAATGACTTCGGGCTGGAGAGATGGCTCAGCGGTTAAGAGCATTGCCTGTTCTTCCAAAGGTCCTGAGTTCAATTCCCAGCAACCACATGGTGGTTCACAACCCTCTGTAATGAGGCCTGGTGCTCTCTTCTGGACTGAAGAAAGAATACTGTATACATAATAAGCAAATAAATAAATATTTTTAAAAAATGACTTCATGGGTATAACTTTTGTCAGCTATCAACTCTCCAGCCTCTGAAGGATCCCTCCCTGCCTCCCTGTTATCACAGTGGCCCTTCTGCTCCTGGTATCAGCCCCTCCCTGGAGGTGTGGCTCTACCTAGAGGGGTAGTGACAGCATTTGTTCCTAAAACCTGTCAGTTCTTAGCTCTCAAAATTCTCAAAATAACAAACTCAGACTTTGGACAGCCCTCAGTACCTCAGTACAACAGATAAACAGTGTAAATCAGGAGGGCAAGGTGGGTGCTGCTCTCAGTATACCTAAGTCCTCTTAGCTACTCAGCTGATGAATGTCTCCACTCATCTGAGCCCTGTGTCCAGGAGAGAAAATTCATTTCCATAGAGACTTCCACCAGCCCCCAATCCAGAGGAGTTCTTCTCTCAGAACCATATGCATCCAAAGGCCAAACATGAGAACACGCTTCTTCCCTGACACAAGAAAGAACAACCCCACCCTGTTGCCTGAGACCTGGATCCCAGGCAAGAGGAAGGCCCAGGGCTGGTGCACTGGGCAAAGAGATGGGGGTTTCAAGGTCTCCTCTCAGCAGAGGCAGTAGAAGATGCTTAGAGAAACCCCAGGAACTGATGTCACTTCTCCTTTAGTGCTTGCCTGGGTCATCGGGTACTCACTCCCAAGACAGATCTGTGACTTGACCTTGGGGTGTGTTTAGCTAGCTCTCTGACTTTGATATCCCTGTGAGACCCATCCCCCCAAGACCTCCAAGGCCTGGCTAGCAAGGCTGACTCTCTATGATTTAGGTCCAAGGTCATGTTCCCAGTTAAAGTTGAGGGGTGTAACTGGGAACCCTTTGGGCAGCTCCTTCTGACCGCCTGGCTCAGATTCCTCTTAGAAGGATGCTCTGCTGGGGAGGCTGGGTACCAGGGATACAGTGTTTCCTAATCTACTTTGGTACTGGGATGCAACCAGTGATATGCTTGGGATGGCCACCTGGCTAGAGGTGTGACTAGGTGGTTACAGCTAGTCACCTTGGCTCAAAGTGCAGAGCCCAAAGTAGTGATGGCATCTTCACCCATGCGGCTTTGCTGAGAAGCTTGTGGCTCTTCTGTTAAAGTTGCTTCTTAGTGTTAGTATACTCGAAGCTATATTTGTGCTAGATTTTATGTTCACTTGATACAAGCCAGAGTCATT